GAACGAAAGCAAAAGTCAAAAAGAAGATAAATTATGGAGAAAATCTGATTGATTGAAGACAAAAAGCATTTCTTTTCTTTCGATTTCATTTTCCTTTTTGCATACGACAAAAAAAGATGTTAAAATCAATTTAAAAAACATAACGACAAAGAGAATTTTTTTTTAAAAAATGTGGAAAGTAAATGGAAAGGAGGCTTAGTTCCTGAAAGTGAGGCTGTAATATACGAAAGAAAGATTGAAAAAAATATAAGATGGAGAAAAAGTTTAATGCTAAAAAGAAAAGGAAAAAAATAGGATGGCAGTCGGGAATTAATCTTCACCAAGTCCTTTCTTGAAATGTCGATGATGTTGAACAGTAAGACAATTATAATAATTGTACTAATTAAGTTTTGAGTCGATGTAATATTGTAATGCAAGGACAATGCAACTGTATTATACTGGAGGATTTGCTTGATTTTGTCTGGAAGTTTTTTTTTCTTCAAACAAAAAACGCTTCATTAAAACACATTCATTCATTAACTAAATTAGAATGGAAATTTGTTTTTCTTTTCGACGAATCAGGGCTTTATACGTACAAATTGATTTTCTTTGTATAAAGGATTAACACGGAGAATTCTTACACACACACACACACACATATATATATATATATATATATATATATATATATATATATATATATATATATATATATATATATATATATATATATATATACACATATATATATATATATATATATATATATATATATATATAGTGCGAGAGGGTGGTTATTCTGTGTGTACACGTAGAGTAATCAATAAGTACGCTGGCACACATGTTTTGCATAATTATACACATTTAATTCAGTTTTACTTTCGAATGCAGACAAGAAAAATTGACAGAATATTTTTTGAATCCATCTACCGTTTTTTATCAAAATTACATTATCAAAAGATTTTTCGTACATAAACTATATATATATATATATATATATATATATATATATATATATTTTATTTATATATATATATATATATATATATCTATATATATATATATATATATATATATATATATATATATGATAATACATGTGGTCTATATATATATATATATATATATATATATATATATATTATGCAGAACCATGATCGCCTTACGCCCTTAGTGGACACTGCGCGTAGAAGATTATTATTATTATTATTATTATTATTATTATCATTATTATTATCAGAGCAATGAGGAAAGTGGACTTGGGAAATTTGATACTCACCAGGCAGATTGAAAGCGAGAGAGACAAAGGAAAGCGATACATAACCTATCCAGCGAGCTTGAGTAAATAGATGGCTGAGTAATGTTTAGGAAATAAATAAAAAGACAAAATTTATTAAGAGATGCAAAGGAGAGGAAATTGTGGAGAGCCATACTCGCCTACATCCTGAAGGAATAGCCACGGCACATTATTTATTATCTTTATAATTATTATTATCAGGGCAAAAAATGAGGAAAGGGCTGGGAAAATTAGCTACCCCCAGGGCAGATTGAAGGCAAGAGAGACAGTGAAACACAAAGCCTAGCCTACCGTGAAAAGGTTTAGGAGAGATTAAAAAAAATACAAAATTTATTAAGTGCAACAAATGACAGGAAATTGTGGAGAACCGTAATCGCCTACCCCCTTAAGGGTCACGGCACGTAGAAGATTATTATTATTATTATTATTATTATTAGAGCAATGAGGAAAGAGGACTTGGGAAATTTGATACTCACAGGGAAGATTGAGACAGAAGCAAAAAACACATAACCTATCCTGCGAGCTTAAGAAAATATTAGGTTGGTGCAAAAATAATGACGTAATAATGTCGTTTTTTGACGTATTTTTAACGTCAAAAACGACATTAATACGTCATTATTTTTGCACCAACCTAATAGATGGCTGAATAATGTTTAAGAAATAAATAAAAAGACAACATTTATTAAGATATGCAAAGGAGAGGAAGTTTTTGGGAGGTTTTTTTTTTGGTGGGGGGGGGTCTGCAGTTGGAGATTTGTCACCAGCCGTGCTTGTCAAATCCCGGGCAGAGAGGATTCCCAGACGAGGCTATATCGAAGGGCGGAGTCTCCTCTCAGAAAACACCTGACCGACGCCGTTTTATACGGGGTCTACGGGGAATTTTTGACCGTTTCTACGGACACGGATACATCACATTAAATCCAGCCTTGCGCCACATCTGACTGCGTGGGGCAGTTGGTAGATATACTGCAGTTAGAGATTCGTCTCCAGAAGTGCTGGTCAAACTCTCTCCTTTCGAGCACAGGGGATTCCCAGACGAGGCTATGTCGAAGGGCAGAGTCTCGTCTCGGGAAACAGCTACCCGACCCCGTTATAGACGGGGTATACGGGGAATTATTGACTGAGCCTTGGGGAACGGCTACCCCACATTAACTTCGGCCTTGTGCCATATCTGACCGCGGGAGGTGGTTGGTAGATATGCTGCTTCGTCTTTGTTTCGCTTCTCCGTTTTTTTCCACTCATTCTTCGAAACTTCCTATTTTGCTTTATTTTTGGATAATCACTACCACACACAGGATTTGAACTCTCTTGATTATTGCAATGGATGTTGAGTAGACGTTGCTTTGTCTGTTTATATATATATATATATATATTTATTATTTTTTAGCTAATTACAGTGTATTTGTTAAAGTAATTTCTGGGAGAATAATTCCTTAAAACTTTGGCGTTTAATATGATTTTGACAGTGAATTTTCATTTAATACGCATGGTAATACCCGGATAATGAGAGCTTGATGCGACGGAATTATTAAAAATGCCACAATGACAATGAAGGGCTATTAATAACAATTACGTGCTTGATTAGACAAAAATGGAACAAAAGAAGACGTTTCAAAGAACAAGCAGAAAAGGACAAAATTAGAAAGAAAATAATGTTAAGAATGAGGAATTAAATGATGGAAAAGAATAAAAAATCGCCCAAAATTAAGCAAGAAGAAAGCAGACGCGATTAACGATGAAGAAGAGGTTGCCTCTCCAGAAAATGATGAATAAAGGGTTTGAGAATAAGAAGGAAAGGAAAGAAAAAAGACACAAAGATATATATATATATATATATATATATATATATAAAGAATGAAAGAAAGAACAGTAAGATATTGTTGTAGAGTAGTTTCACAGTGGAGGCTTGTATTTCACTAAGTCGGTCCTAAAATAGGTTCGACGTACAAAACGTTAGGAACTTGAATAGGTATAACGCAGAGTAATCTAGTTGCGGTCGCTGATACTTTTAGTATCCGACTAACGGTCGTCCGACATCGACTGACTAACCAATGATATTTAGTCACCCCCCCCCACGAGGGCATCATGTGGCACAAGGCCGGTTTAACGTGGGATCTCCGAGCCCCGTGGGCTCAGCCAAAAAAGATATGCCCATTGAACCCCGTATATAAACGGGTTCAGGGTCGGTTTACCTCCCGAAAGAGAATCCGCCCTTCGGCGTAGCCTCCTTCGGGTTCCTCCCCGCCCGAAGGCAGAGAGTTCAACCGATCAGCCAGTCGACTGACTGACCAACCCACTGAGACACTTATTACTACTCCTACTTATTATAGGTGGGAGAGTCTATTAACAATAGAATAGGTGTGTTCTACTATAACAGATATATAATCCGGTGTTCTTATAGATATTTTTATTTTTACAAAATAGTGCTCAATATAAATTTACAGAGCATTAATATTATAAATTAACTGATTTAAAATATGTTTTTCTTCGCTACACAGTTCTAACCATGTTTCAAATGTGGACGCTAAAAGCCTCGAATTTAATTTTGTAATTAAATTAAAGACATTAGGTCCATTTCATGCTCAAGCGAATTTTGGAGAAAGAGTAAGGAGAGGAGAGAAAGTGTAGAAAGAGTAACAAATGTCGTTTGGAATAATCATGCCGATTGACTTGTTTTTTTGTTTTTTTTACGGCTGATCAACCCTTTGTGTTTATATTTTTTTAAAGACGAAACATATTTTGGATTGAGAGAATAAAATATTTTTTCATGTTTGTGTTTACCGGCATATCAACTCTTTGTGGGACATTTAATGCCGAGTTGGATGGTTGACTTTGTTTATTGGCATATCAACACCACTATGGGTTATTTAATGCCGGAATCTAAATATTTATAATTGTACACCTTCAACTTACAGATAAAATGTATTATTAGTATTTACTATATTCGGACTATTACCCTCATCTTCATTGGCGTATTCACAACGTTTCGGCCGTTGTACGCTCCGACCTTCTTAAAGTGACGGGAATTTCGAACCCTTTATTTCGGTAGATTGTTCTAGTTCCACGTGCTATGCCTTTTCCGGATGTTTCCCTTTAACTCAACTGTCCAAGTTTTTTTGGTTCAACACTGCTGTTGCTTGAACTCACAATCCTTTGGGTCTAGTCGCGGGAACTAACTAACGTCTTTATCCACTGGGCCATGTGTCCGAATAGTGTAAATAATGAAAATAATCATAATACCTCATCTCAGAGATATAGACAGGTATTTTTAGTAATTTCACTACTAATAGGTATTGTTGGCAATTTCTTTATATAAGAATTTATAGCTGGTATATCCACCATTACGTTTATTAAATTGGAACATAATAATCGTGCTGCGGAGAAAACCGCTTGAAAGATAATAAGCGTGCCGTAAAAGAGAAGAACCGTGCCGGGTGGAAATTTGAGAGAAATCTTTTAATCGAGTCGGCACTTGTATTTGGTTTCACTAGAGTACAAAAGAAGGAAAGAATTTAAAAACAAAATTATGAAAACTTAGCTCGGAACAGACAAGCGTTGGGAGAGAAAAAAACAAATAGAGATGTAACAGGGATAAAGAAGAAAAGAAAGCTAAAGCTATTGAAGACTGGCGCAGCACAATCTTCCTCACTCCATTTAAGGATTATGGAAGAAGAATTTTATACAATTTCTTCTACTGCATGTTTTGTACCAAATACAATTTGGCTTACGGTCATATGACGTTGAAAACCCGATTCTTTAATGATCACCGAGGTTAAGCAACGTCGAGCCTGTTCAGTACTTAGATAGGTGACCACTTAGAAATACCAGTTGCTGTAAAACTTGGATATGCAGGTGGTGTAATGGATAACGGCTTGGAATTGGAAGTCAGAGAGTCAAGTCCCAATTCTAGTTGGGTTCTAGTTCCACGTGCCTTGCCCGACGTATGTCAGCCATCTGCCATCTCCTGCTAACCTCCCTCTGAAAGTTCCCCACTGCCCCAGCCGGATCCAACCAACGCCTCCATCCACTGTGCCATGTATCCTTGAGGACACATGGCACAGTGGATACGTACAGGAGATGGCTGACATCCGTCGGGCATGGTACGTGGAACTAGAACGGTCTGCCCCAGTGAGCGAAATGGGGGGCAGGGTTCGGTTCGAAATTCCAACCACCTGAAGAAGGCCGGAGCGTACAACGGCCGAAACGTTGTGATAAATATAGCGACAAAGATGAGGACAATAGTCCGAATAATGTAAATAAAGACTCGATATTTATCTGAAACTGAGCCCCAACAAATAGAATGTTTGTCACCGTGCGTGATAGTAAGGAAACTGTGACGAGAATGCCATTGGAGATATTTACAGATTATATTCACAATGATGTTTTTAACGTGGAGACCCGAGTGTTTCGTGTGTTTTCACTCGATCTAAGCTTGTCTTAACTTGTCTAAGCTGGTCTCATCTGGTTATAGCTTGTCTAAACTGGTCAAAGCTTGTCTAAGCTAGTCATACTACAGCTATGTAACTGATGTCACGCAACGGTGATGGGGGAACGCAAGGGGAGATAATGCTTCCGGCACGGAACAGATACTACTTCTGCAGCATCCATCCTGGTGGGGAAAAAACCCTTCCCCTAACACTGCTGATCGCTCCCTGGTAGACACAGACACCCCAGGGGAAAAGCATTCAAGAAATGGGTAGTTTGTTATTAAAAAAATGATAAGCTGGTCTCCAGAATAATGTAAATTCATCTGCATAATGGTATTTGGCAAAAAGGAACTTTTATTATATTAAGAACATTCGATTTCCTTCATTATCCATTATTATTCCATTATTATCTCCTTTTCCTGACTTTCACATCTTCGGAATCAATGTTATTCAGCATTACCATTCCTATCAATACGTGCTCGATGACTTTAATGTTTGGAGTCAATATTTGATCAAACTTTTTTCTGTTTTCTTCCAAGATGTTATCTTTAATCTCGCCTGATTTCCGCTTTTTCTTCTTTTACCTTGTTCATCGTTTTCCGTCTACGCTCCTTCTTCTTTTATATAATTCTTCATCTTACGCTATGTTCCTTTCTACTTTTTTCCTTTTATATTTTTTTCTTTTCCTTCATTTCCGTCTATGTCTTTCTTCTTTTGCTTCTTTATCAACAATCTCCATTATCTTTTTTCTTTTACATTTTTTTCCGTTTTTCTTCTTTTTCATCTTCTCCTTTTAGACATTTCTTGTTTTTTTAACTTAATTTGCCGTAAACAAATGCAACGAATCCGACTGTAATTTGAACTCGGTCCTGCCATTTCTCATTTTGGCCCGCTATCCATTGCCCCAGTTCCTTTCCCCTTCGAATATAATCTGTAAATATCTCCATTGGCATTCTCGTCACAGTTTCCTTACTCTCACGCACGGTGACAAACATTCTATTTGTTGGGGCCTTGTTGGGTCCAGAATAAAGACACAACAGTGGATTTGATTTAACAAATATATTAACGAAAATCGGTAATACAATAATATACAAACGAGCAAGAATGTTGAGTCCGAACTGTCACAGCTGACTGTTGGTAAAAAAAAAAAAAAAAACTCTACTTCTGATAAAAGCATTACCTGCTTTTTTTGTGTAACTTGGAATGATCCATCCGTGTATGGATAATTTACCATAACCCTATTTCAACGAGAATTTTAGGTTTTAGAAAAGCCAGAAAACGCAGAGAGCTAAATTTGGAATGCAAGATAGAGAGTTTTGCAGCCTGGCCTAGAAAATGACATGTATTTCTAGAACACTTTCCAAACTCGTGAAGAATAGATAGTTTCATTGTAGCTGTTTACTGAGTGACCAACCCATCTTGCTAGATGCCTTTGTATATTAATGAGCTTCAAGAATATGAATGTAAACTATATTTTATCTCCGTTTTCTGTGAGTACGTGTGTCTAGCACAAACATGTTCGAGTAATGAGAGTCAGCAATATTACTTTGGAAACGGCATACTTTCAAGAATTTACTTTGATTCCATGAGATTATGTTGATCTTCTTTATTTCGAAATTAGCCTGATTTTGCATCCAGTAAAATTACAACTCTGCACACACAGAACCTAGAATGTTTCTTCTCCTCCTCACATTGCATCTCTTTTTTCAGATTCCTTTTATTTCAGTACGACACCCTTTCTGATCGTTGGAATAATTATCACCTACATGTCTTTAAATATGTTGCGATAATAACGCTGTCAAGACATAAACAATCTTAATAGTCTGGTTTTAAATAATGATAATAATAAAGTATTTTATCACACTGCCCCCTAAAGTGTTTTGCATTTTATGTATCTGTTCTTGCGGTTTTCTCAACGTCTACCATCAACACGATGGCATCTGCGTATCTTAAACTGTTAGGATTGTGCCTATCATTTATAAATCTATTATTGTTAGCAAAAGGGGCAATCCAATGGGCAACTTAGAACTTGGGGACGTCAAAATCAAGCGAGTACAAGAATTGAAAGATCTGGAAAGTATTTTAACTGGTGACAAAAATGTGGCACCGAAAACTGAAGCAACACTGGAATAGCGAAAGATGACTTGCAGAAGCTAAGTAAAGTATTAAGAAACAGGAAAATGTCGTTAGAAAAGTAGAGTGATGAACAGTGACGTAATATCAATGCACCCAAATGACAGTTAATACTGGGTAATATCCTCACAGATGTAGAGGAGGCTAAAAGCAACAGAAATGTGCTTCTACAGAAGGATCCTCATGATTTTTTTTATAAGCGTTTCACCCCAAGCAACGCTGGAAGCCACTAGCACGCAAGGGGTTACAGAGAATTTGGAGCAAGAGCAAATAGGAATGATAGAGGAAAGGATGAAGAGAGGGGTAGTGGATAGATCAAGGCAACTGGAGATGTCGATTGACATTGCATTTGAATAGTTGGAGATTATAGCTATCAGGGAAACAGGAATAGGGAAGGGAGTTCCACAGGCGAGAGGTGCGAGATATGAAGCTATTGGAGTAGAAGTGACGGCTACATTATGTCTACCGGTAGTAAATCCATTATCGTCAGCAAAAGGGGCAATCCAAAAGGTGACCTACAACTTGGGGACGTCAAAATCAAGCGAGTACAGCAATTGAAAGATCTGTTAACAGATGACAAAAATGTGGCACCGAAAACTGAAGCAGCACTGGAATAGCGAAAAATGACTTTCAAAAGCTAAGTAAATATTAAGAAATAAGAAAATGTCGTTGGAAACAAAGGTAGAGAGATGAACTGCGACGTAATATCAATCCACTTATTTGAGAGTGAATGCTGGGCAATTTCTTCGCTGATGTAACGAGGGTTAAAGGCAACAGAGATATAGGTTCGACTAAAGGATGTTGAGAATACCACAGTATAGGACATGTGAGAAATTAGGAAGTTTTAAGGAAAATGCAAATAAAAAGGACATATGCTTAGTATCATAAAGGGAGAGTTTAAACGTTAGGCAATGGCGGACTTCCCAGGGTTTCAGCTTTTCCGATAATAAGTCGGTCCCTGATAGCGTGGAAGCGCTATGTCTATATAAAAGTATAACAAAGAAACAAACACTTTTAGTAATAAAAAAGGAAATTTATAAATTCATCTGAACACTATCAGTGACTCAAGTCCAATGTCAGAGGAAATTCTCAAAGCTAAAGTTCATAAAGACAAGGTGAAGAAATTCTCAAAAAACGTGGGGCGTTTCGAACCCGTAGGGTCGGGCAAAAATTGCCCATAGACACCGTATACACGGAGGTCAATTAATCTTCTACCTCCTCAATCGAAACTCTTCCCTACGGCACAGCCTCGTCTGGGTACCTCGCCGCCCAGAGACAGAGAGTCCTCAAGCAGAATTAACTCTACTCGTTGATATTTTTAGAATAGTTCATCTTGTTGGGGGTGTTCAGCTACTCCACAAAATTATCCATTGAAAAGTAATTGTTAAATGGATTGGATGTAGAAGCAATTATTGGCAGATTCGAACAATCAAGTGAACACAAGTGATTGCTCTTAATGTAGTATACTGCATATAAGGCTCTATGGTTCTTTCAAACTGCTTGTTAATTTGTAAATTTTAGAGTAAACTATTTGAGAATATCAACCGATTATGTAAAAATAAAATAAAATAAAATGATTTTTTGTCTGAATTTCTGTGATGAGAATTTACCATTATTTACACTATTTATATCCGGATTATTGTCCCCATCTGTGTTGTTGTTATCACAACGTTTCAGCCGTTGTACTCTCCGGTCTTCCTCGATCGTTCTAATCAGTTGCATGTCCTTGAAGGTGTCTCAAAAAAAAAAAAAAAAAAAAAAACGCTGTTAAGATAACAACATCCTAATTAGCAGGCATAGCCTCGTCTACGGATCCTCTCTGTCCAGTGGCAGAGAGTTTGATCAGCACAACTGGAGACGTATTTCCAACTCCAAGATATCTACCAACCGCCCCACGCGGTCAGATTTAAGGCCAAATTTAATGTGCGGTATACGATCCAGTAGGCTCGGCCAAAATTTCCCCGTACATCCCATATAAAACGAGATCGGGCAGCTGTTTCCTGAAACGAGTCTCTCAGAGGCAGAGAGTTTGACTAGCAGTGCTGGAGACGAATCTCCGATTGCGGACTAACATACAGTATTTACTACTATAATTATGTGAATGTGGACATACCCATTATCGTCTGTAGGTATGATGCAACAATTTGGTATCTACGGCGAGTAATATGTACAGTACATGTGTATTGTAATTACGAAGAAATACATATTTTTTCTCACTAAATTTCAATTGTACCTTTTTTTTTCCATATGTACTTTTTAAAATGTTTATTCGTTAT